AACCCTGTCTCATAATCGTAGTTTCATCCTCAAATTACTATCTTCATGTATTGGATTTTAGCATGCCCTCGGAACTTTGGCCTCCTTAAAAAGATGACAAACCTTTATATTTCCCGCTACACATTATTACCCCCTGTCACCAGGTTTTCGCATCCGGCCTTTGATGTTGCCTCGTTAAAAAGCAGAAGACATTTCAGAATTTGGATTCGAAAGGAATGTATACCTATGAAGAGTGCTACTATTGGTACTATTACTTAAACATTAATTAGCTAGGCAATAATAATGTATACGCCTAGGTTAGATGAGCTAAAACATTTCTTTGTCTAATGGTAAATTTCACCAAATTTTAGTTCCACAAAGTAATGTCTTTCCACATAAAGTACACATTTAAATAAAAAAAGAGAGATCTTCAATATATAATGTTAACATCTTAAAGTACATTTAATATTAAAACATAGAATAGCTGAATAGAAAATAGAAAACTAAACAATACACTGATCAAGAAAAGCTAAACTTGCGTCGAGAAAGACAAATTAAATACATTCTTTCCCCACTTGGATTTACTGGGCATGGCGACAAAATATTGGCGAGCGCAATATGTATATGTGCATGGGCAAATAATGAGATTATTAGAGATCCAACATGATATTTGCTATCATATTACAGTTTATTGCATTTTTTACTGTCATTTGTTTATAGAATTGCACGCTAGACCTACTTCGAACGATTTACGATATTAAACAAAATTCCAATTTCCAAGAGTGAGTTTGTAAGTATTATGCCACCACAACATCCCCATAAAAATGCATTGTAAATAAAACAATTACTATACGTGCAAAATGAGTAATGTGGTAAATTTATACTAAGAAGAACATTAGAGACAATCTTAAAGAATATTTTATGAAAATATTAATGATGGAGTATATGGCCCGGGAACCCCCGGCGCACAGACTCCTACTTCTCCAATAAAGGCCCAATAGGCCCAGGAAGCACAACAGGCCCAAATCACAGCGCCCAGAGTACCAAGCGGCCCACAGTGCGCACCGGGAGTGCCTTCGCCCCCCTGGCCGAAGGCTCCAATTCTCACAGAATGGCCAAATCAGGAAAACAAAGTTACTGGGAGAAAACGGCGAAAATCAGTAGCCCTCGGCACCTAGAGCCCTCGACTAGTCATCTACAGCCGAGGGCACCCTTTCCGACACAACATCCGCTCCACATGCGTATGGATCACCGTACCAAGTACGACGTCACATCCAACAACCGCATTAAATGCGACCACATGCGATTGCCAGCGCCAACCAGTTAAGATGACCCCTCGACCAATGGATGCTTGACATGTGTCCCTGTCTGGCATTTATTGCTACTATAAATAGCATCACATCCCCCCATTTGTAACCAAGGAGGCAAATACGCTGAATACATTTTCTAATATACTCTCTCTCTACTTATTTGCTCTGACTTCTCTCTAGTTACTCCCCGCAGTAACCCCTCGGATAAGCTACCCCCGGGTACACTATCCATCATTTGGTGCTTTCATTGAGAACCGGGCCTCCGGTTGAACAACCATCATTACGAACCGTCGAACTGCCCAATCAGTGACGCCCGCCCACAGGCAGCCAACAGGCACGCACCACGTGGAAGCCCCCCCCAACGGCTATATCTTGACGTTAGGTATTGCAACGGCTATAATTACAACGGCTATATTCTGGGAGCTCCCGACTATAATTTAGCAGACCACTCCTTCATCAACCAGGAAACTAGCCCCCGGGCTTTTTACTTCACTACACTTCATCAAGAAGAACCCCCAGGTACACTTACCCCGGGATGCTCCCGGTTTATGCCCCTCATACTACATGACAAATGCCTTCAGGCTCACTCCTTCAGAAGCCCACAGCTTCATAACAGGCACACCCCTCGGGGATTCCCCCCTCAGCACTTTGAGGACCAGGTAGCCCCCGAGGAGTACACCTCATTGACGGATAGCCTACGGCACACATGTAATGGGACCCCCCGGTAACACTTCGACTACTACTCACATTCATCACGCCCTCGATCCCCAGATTGAGGGACTCCCCTTCAGCACCTCCCAGGATATCAACAGCAAGCCTCCGGCTAATCAACACACGCGCCCTCAGAACAAGGATAGCCTTCGGCATCAGCATTGTACTCCATTTCAAACCACAGTTTCACATTTTCGATTCATCGTCGGGGGAATTCGGTGCACTCTTTTTCCCTCATTAGGATTTTTTCCCACAGGGTTTTTCCTAATGAGGTTTTTAACGAGGCATCCCCCCCAAAATGAAACGAAAAGCGTCAGCCTTCGGCCCAATACAGCAACATGATTACTCTACTCCTTTTCACCACTTTGCAAGTGCCTCAAGGAGTGGGGGACTGGAGAACCCCCTCGGGAAAAATCACAAAAAGTGCAAAACGCTAAAAATGCCCGCAAACAGCAAAACATGACCCCTCTAGTCCCGACATGTGGGTAACTGAGGGACTGCCCTCGGCAGAATAAACGAACAACAAACTACTCACAACTCTACAAACTACAACGGAACAACGGCAGAGGACAAACACAACTACTCCTTTTCCCTCAAGTACCTTTCGGCAAAAGGAGTGAGTGACTCCTGATGGAGTATATGGCCCGGGAACCCCCGGCCCACAGACTCCTACTACTCCAATAAAGGCCCAATAGGCCCAGGAAGCACAACAGACCCAAATCACAGCGCCCAGAGTACCAAGCGGCCCACAGTGCGCATCGGGAGTGCCTTCGGCCCCCTGGCCGAAGGCTCCAATTCTCACAGAATGGCCAAATCAGGAAAACAAAGTTACTGGGAGAAAACGGCGAAAATCAGTAGCCCTCGGCACCTAGAGCCCTCAGCTAGTCATCTACAGCCGAGGGCACCCTTTCCGACACAATATCCGCTCCACATGCGTATGGATCACCGTACCAAGTACGACGTCACATCCAACAGCCGCATTAAATGCGGCCACATGCGATTGCCAGCGCCAACCAGTTGAGATGACCCCTCGGCCAATGGATGCTTGACACGTGTCCCTGTCTGGCATTTATTGCTACTATAAATAGCACCCCATTCCCCCATTTGTAACCTAGGAGGCAAATACGCTGAATACATTTTCTAATATACTCTCTCTCTCTACTTACTTGCTCTGATTTCTCTCTAGTTACTCCCTGCAGTAACCCCTCAGATAAGCTACCCCCGGGTACACTATCCATCAATTAAATTTAACCTCAAATCCCACCTTTACTTATTGAGTTGAGAGTCACTTGAGTATTTCATAAAATAATTATCTTATTTTTTATAAGACACAATGACACAAATACTACTTCTCATCTTTATTTGAACAAAAATATGTCCAAAATTAGTTTTGCCATAAATGCGATCAATTAAACCCATCCCTTCCCCTTTTTCTTGTGCGTTCGTAGACCAACCCCAGGAAAGAGGTTTCCCTTCTTCAATTCGTAATAGACACAGCAACCCCCAGAGCGGTTGTTGCCAGGAGCAGTCTACCACCTCCCCCACTCCTCTGCAGACAGAGCCACCGACATCGCCCACCGCCAACAGAGCCACCACCATCACCCACCTCCGACAGAGCCGTCGCCGCCCTTCACGGACAGAGCCGCCACCATCGCCCTCCGCGAACAGATCCGCCGCCATCGCCCTCTGCGGACAGAGCCGCCGCCATCGCCCTCCATGGACAGAGCCGCCGCCATAGCCTCCATAGACCCGACAACGCTCCAACGACGAGGTACAACACCGACGCTGGTCCAGATCCGAATGGAAACAATTAGAGTTGGGATTGGTTGGGGTATTTGCGATGGTTGGGGACGAGATTTGGGCCAGGGGGTATGGAGGGACTGGGGAGGGGGGATTTGGGGACTGACTCGGCTGCGGATGGTAGGTTAGAGCTGTCAACAACGGAAGTAGATTAGCACGCGAGATAGCGGTGGGTGAAATGTTAGGGTGGCGACAACAGCTGCACGTGGTCGTCAACATTTTGACCGGAAAATGTCGCCGGAATTTTTTCCGACGACACAGTGACACGGCGGCATATTGACACGTTTCAAAGCGTCAGTGACATCCTAAAGTTACATAAAATCGACAGTGACATTCAAAAGTGACATAAAAATCTGAAAATAACATTACAGTGACATGAAAATTCGATAGTGACATAAAATTTTGATAATGATATCATGTTTTTCTAAATATATCACCTTCTTAGTCGCATTTTTGTCATTTTTAAAAAATGGTCACATTTTTTGAAATTGACTTGAATTTAGTAATATTGAAAGAAAAAGCCCTTATTATAATTACGGAGTATTACTGTACATTATTTTTATTTGGGAAAAGGTGCAAATAGGTCCATGTACTAACAAAAAAAGGTCAAATAAACCCTCATTTAGGAGGCTCTGTCCGATAATCGCCATTTGGGGTGGTTCCTAGTAGATTTTTTTGATGAACTTTTTTGAGAATCTTATTCATCAAGTCTAGTTTACTCATACCAAATTTCAGCTAAACATTCAATCGGGAAGGCATTCAAATAAATTTTTAAAATAACTGCGCAATTAGAATCACAGTTATCTTCACGAATTCATTTGAATGCATTCCCGATTGAAGTTTTAGCTGAAATTTGGTATGAGTAACTAGACTTGATGAATAAGATTCTCAAAAAATTTCATCAAAAAATTCCAGCAGGAACCACCCCAAATGAAGATGGCCGGACAAAGCCTCCAAAATAAGGGCTTATTTGACTTTTTTTGGTTAGTACATGAGCCTATTTGCACCTTTTCCATTTTTATTTTTATAAAACTTGATCACAAATTCACAATATCCAATTATTCTTTTCTCACTATTCCCCGGTAAAATGGTAAATCAGTAAATACTCCGTATGTGATTGCTTACCAGAAAGACAAAAGGGACGAAAGAGAGAATCAATATAAAATGCTTCCTGTGTATAAACACTCATCGCTGGATCAAATTCTTCTCTTTCGCGGCGGGAAACCAATTGTTTCCCATAAAACCTCCCTCCGAAAATTTTCTCTCGGTTCTTAGCCCTAGATATTTCCCATTTTCTGTATCCCGGATTTTACCAGAGATAGGGGAAAGCACATTCTAATCTTTCCTCTATCCAGTTAATTTTTTCTTTAAAAATTTCAATGGCATGCCAATCCAGTAATTTAACCCGAACTCTCTCTAGAGACGAAGAGGCAAACCCCGCATCGCCGTGTCTGGGGAGACAACAGTTGCTGCTTGAAGGGCAGGAGGAATCTCTGGACGTTGATATAGGGACTCCTCTGAAGTACGTCTCACTGTGCGACGTGTACTCGGCAACCTCACCCTGTGTGAGGGCAAGCGGATCGAAGAAAGTCAAGGCTTCACGAAAAATCACCACCTTTGACATCCAGAACTGCGAAGCTGATCAATTCATGCATCCCGAACCTTCCAAGAGTCTCACAATGTGGACGCCCCCTATTACTCACGTCTATACACGCCGCTACAAGAGGAAGCAGCCGGAGCTCTCTTTTTTCAGCTCAATTGTTTCGGTCCTGCATCAGGCTGAATCAGCACCGAACAATGTGGTGGTCAAGACTGAAGCAGAAGAAGGAAGAGAGGATGAGATTGTAGTGAATGAAGAGAGCCATACTAATTCAAAGAAAAGGAGAAAGGTGGCAAGCAGCTTGGAGCTTTTCAAATTGGGGGTGGATGCTAATTCAATTAGCAGTGGAATGAATGGGTTAAGGGAAACCCGGAGTAAAGCGACTACTTCTGGCAATGTTGCTGTCAAGGGTGATAATCATAAGAGTAAGTCCAAAACTAAGTCTAGTAATAAGACAGATAGTGCTAGGAAACGAAAAAAGGACGCTGCTTCAGGGATCAATTGTCAATCTGAGCCAATTCGTTCCAAAAGATGGGTTTGGTATGATGTTTGTTCATTGTCTATATAACATTTCATATATTTGGATGGACAATTATTTTAAATTTTAATGGGTTATAGGCTAAGATTGGAAGGTGTTGAGCCAAAGAAATTTATAGGACTGCAATGCAAGGTATGGGATCCATCAAATATTGGCTAGCTTGATGCCTGGGAATGATTATATGACAGATACTTGAGAATTATTTGCCTGTGAATGTGAACAGGTATATTGGCCCTTGGATGCTGATTGGTACAGGGGCTGCGTTCATGGATACAGTATTGATACTGGGCGACATACTGTAATTTCTTTATGAATTACTGCTCTTACCCATAAATGTATCATGCTTAAAGTTGTCACTTGCATCGATGTATTCTGGTGTAAACCATGCATTAGTAATTAGTTGAGTTTAATGCAGGTAAAATATACTGATGGCGATGAAGAACATTTGATTTTGACAAACGAAAGGGTCAAATTTTTTGTTTCAGAAGAGGACATTGAACAGTTAAAGTTGAGCCGTACTGATGGAAGCATGGAGACAGATGGAATTGATGTTGATGACATGGTTGTATTAGCTGCTAGTTTTGATTCTTGTGAGCAGCTTGACCCTGGGGATATAATATGGGCTAAAATTACTGGTATTAACTATATATCTCTACAATTTTTATTTATGGATGGGCACTTCTTGAAGTCCCTAAAATGAGTAAATATCTATTAAGATTAGAATTTGACATCTCATTGCAGATGTATGTGCATATGGTAGTATGTGCATATGGTTAAACTTTAAGTTGGCCGAGTAAGAATTAACTTACCGAGTAGGTTTGGAGAAAGCAACGATAAAGCCACACCAACACAAGATGAAGAGTGAAATTTGCATAGTCGAAAATTTTATGTCATCTTGTCTTCCATGTCACCAAGCCATTAACACTTTTCATTCCATATGGTCATATGGATTTAATGAATTTCTAATTTGGTAGCGATGTACATTCTACTGAATAAACATTGCAAGAAAAGCTCTTACAACAAACCACTAACATAAATATGGTATGTCAAGTACATTTCTGAAAGTACATTTCTGAAAGTTAACCTAAGGTTAACTAGATAATATAGCTTTAGACAGAGAAGATGCATCATTAGTATAATCTTTTATGTTTTTCTGTCTAATTAGATCCTCGAGGCATTCTTAAGCCAATATAGGCATACAGTCATACAACTGTATTGTGAGTTATTTTGTATAGGTGAGTGTTTTTGGTTGCTTTTTTTTTGAAGCAGTAAGAAGCTTTTTGGACCTCCCTTTTAGTGATTTTTGGTAAACTGGGACATTAGGCTAGGATGTAAGTTCTTTAGATAATACAGTTCTTAGACGGATGATGAGTTTTAAGATAATCCACTTATGTATGGTTGTACCAAACCATGCATCCATATAGAGGTTAGTTTTGAATTCATTGAATGCCATTCAAGTCCAAATGGAATACTATATGCGAGTGAGTTGATTCCATTCCAGTGATCCAGATAAAATACCACTGTCTTCAGAGAATTAGATGTGTTCAAGTGATCCAAATGGAGTACTAGTTTATAGATAGTATATGAATGGAATAGTGAACTATTTACACAGCAGAAACCCTGTTCGCCTTCTTGTTCTTTGATCATGTTTTCAGGTTACTCAAACACACAAATAATATGCTAAAACATGTGTATTATTGATAATTCCTGTGTACAATCTGCTTATGTAGGTCATGCTATGTGGCCAGCCATTGTTTTGGATGAATCTCAAACTGGTGGGCGCAGAGGCCTGAAAAGAACTTCTGGAGAAAAATCAGTTCTAGTTCAGTTTTTCGGTTCTCATGACTTCTCTAGGTATGTGCTTTGTGAATTCATTCATCTGCCATTCAACGCACTATAATTAACTTGCCTATCACTCTATCAGTCAAGATGTCAAATTAATATTTGTTTGCAGTAAATTAAATCATATTTGCTGATTGTCAGGATCAAAGTGAAGCAAGTCATTTCTTTTCTTAGAGGACTTCTCTCTTCCTTTCATTTGAAATGCAAAAAGCCAAACTTTCTTCGCGGTTTGGAGGAAGCAAAAATGTACGCCTGATTAGCTTTTGTTCAACATATTATTATCTCTTCTATTTATTTCTGAGGGTGCATTTCTTTATTTTTCATTTTTGCTTAAACATTGACTGCCGGTTAATAAAATAGTTATCTGACCAATGATAAAATGCTAGTTTATTCCAAACCAGTGTGATAAAACTTTTCAACACCTTTTAATAATGGCAAATTACAACTGTTAAAACTTAAAAGCGATGTAGTCGCATGAAATATTAGTTCTGTTTTATGAAATAGGACTATTTTTTTGTTATAACATAATTCTTTTAGTGGGTACATTTGTTTCTTGAACAGAAAAATTGATGGTGATTTTTCATTTCAACACTCAGGTATCTTAGTGAGCAGAAACTCCCCAAAAGAATGTTACAATTGCAGAATGGTGTCGATGCTGATGATTATGATGGTGAGAATGAAGCAAATGACAGCCATGATGGTTCAGATGGAGATTGCATGGAGAATGGGCTTCCAAGGAGGCAAGAAGACCTCAGGCATTTTCCATTTCAAGTTGGGGATTTGCAAATTATTAGCCTTGGTATGTCCCAAGTTCATCACAGATCCTTGACATTGCATGCTATAATGCGTACGTTGCTCCGATTTTGTTGTTCTGATATTCACAGCCCTGATAGCCTAAAACAACCCCCATAATATTCTTCAGCCTTACAATGCTTATTTCTTCTCCAATTTTCCAATTATAAATTGAAGAATGCTGAGTACTTGTGGAGTCTATAGCTAACAGTTAATGTGTTGATGTAATACATCAGTAAGTTTTGCATTATCTCAACTCTTTGATTTTGTTGGATCTGGAATGTTTCCTTCATATGAAAATAGATTAATATTGGTTTCCTTCAGTCTGATAATTCCTCATACTAGAAGGATACAGTAAAACCTCCCAATTATTTTGAGTTTTTTCAGTCTGAAAATAATCTAATTTTCACCCGGAGAAGTCTATATGAATGGGCATTAGAAGTATTTAGTTTACTCCGGAAACACCATTTTCAAATGTCCTAGTTTCTTTTGAACAGAAGTATCTGGAATATCCGCATCTGTCCATATCAATGTTCAACTTGTCGTGCAGGAAAAATTGTGGATGATTCTGAAAATTTTCAAGATGATAAATTCATTTGGCCTGAAGGATACACAGCAGAGAGAAAATCTCTTTCATTAATGGGTATGTGTTTATGGTGGTTTTTTTGTTATTTCTTTATCTTAGACTTTTTACATTTGATCAACTTTGCAACAAATTCCTTTCCATATAATTTGCTGAATCCAGATCCCAATAAATATGCTTTATACAAGATGGAAGTCCTTAGAGATCCTGACATGAGGACACGTCCTCTCTTTCGAATTACATCAGACAACGGGGAAAAGGTAATTATGATAAGCTGGTGCCCTAAATGATTTTATGCCTTCTCAGATGTGGGGGCATCATGGATTTTTTTTACATGACCATGACATACACTTTTGAATCTTTTCTGGTCTATGTTATCTGGATCTGTTTACTCTGGAATTTTGTTATAGGATTTCCTAGATTGATTTAGTTGTATATTTAATTTTCAGTTTAAGGGATCCACACCATCTGCCTGCTGGAATAAAATTATAAAAAGGATAAGGAAGCTACAGGCTGATGACTCTGATGGTATATCTCGTAGTGGCAGCAAAGGACATTTGGAGTCTGGTTCAGATATGTTTGGTTTTTCTCACCCTGAGATTTTGAAACTTATTAAGGTACACCACACAATCCTCATGTTCTGCTTACACTCTTGCAGTTTTATCCTCCCTAAATACAGCTACTTCGTAGAAAATAATGTCATATCAAACCTAGGCTGTTTAGCTCAATTTTTTATAGTTGAATTTGAGGTGATTAATGCAATTTCCAACTCAGGAATGTTTTTATGTTGTTTTTCACCTTGTAATGAAGCTTCAACTTGTACTACTGCTTAATTGAGCTTCACATCCGCAATGAAGGGTTATCAGTAGTCATTTAGACACTGCTAAAGAGACAAACATTCTGTAATTACCAGTGTGTTGTCCGATTTTTAGAACATTTTGTATTGTAGAATTTCAGTTCAATATAATTAATTAACTAATTTCTCTATTGTGATTCATGACCACGTGTTGCTTAGTCATGTCCTTGAGTAGGTATTTTTATTTAGATACAAAATAGAAATGGATTTCATACATCAATTCATGTTAGTTGACTCCAAACTCTTTTGGAACTAAGGCTTGGATGTTGTTGCCTTGTTGTTATTGTTGTTGTATACAAAAGAGAAATGGCGAAACTGGGTAATGATCGGGTTGTAGTCTTGTAGATGTTGGCTAGGCATACCAATCTTGTATGCAAGGTTGTCAAAGGCGTAAGGAGCACCTGAAGCGCTAGGAGTCTTCCAGCGCTTGAGGCGCAAAGCGCAAAAAAGCGCTCGCCTGACTCGGGTGAAGCGCATTACTTATATAAAGTCACATATACTATTCTATAAATACCAAATATGATGTATGTAACATCATATTGAACCAAATGCATCAAAAAAGCTAGGATTCACCAAAATAAAGTCATGATTCACAAAAACAGAAGTCTAAATTTAGAATTCATGGCTTTAATACTAAAAGTAAAACTAAAAGACACTGAAATCCGAGCCTATTTCCCCTCATTAAACTTGTGAAGGACTATTCGTCATTAAAAGAGGAGTCAGTTTCTTCTCCATTATCTGATTTGTATTCCCCAACATCCTCTTCAATTTCTCCCTCACTTTCCTCATCCACAAGTTTTACGTACTTACAGGCTTAGTTTTACGTAGGTTAAACTTACTTTACCCTATTGTTTTCATGGGCTGAGGACTATTAAGATATGGGCTTTTTTTTTTCAAAGTTTTAAACTAAAAAAGGGCTGCCAGCCTTTTCCGTTTCAGGCGACGCAGGCGCGCGCCTATAGCGCTTCCGCGCTTCATGCGCTTCTAGCGCTTATGCTGTGCCTTGCCCAGGGTTGTGCGCTTCTACCTTACTCAGGCGCTAGGGGTCTACCTCGCTGCGCTTTGTGCGCTTAAGCGCAGAAGCGAGCGCTTTTGACAACACTAGTTGTATGTATTGATGGGTAAATGGACAAAAATGTTCATGAGACTGGAATAATGGGAAGATGTAATGCAAATTGCAAAGTAAAAAATGTTTTGGATGTTTCTGTCTACAGTACGTGAGAGGCTTTTTATTTTCAACAGTTTCTTGTGCCTGTTGAAGCATTGTTTAGATGACTTTGATAGTTTAGCTATTATGCAACCAAGAAAGCACATCTGAGATTTTTTTGAATTATTCACTAGGTTTGATTGCCAAAATCTTTGCATTCATTTTAAAGTAACTTTTGAACTTTACAGGAGCTATCAAATTCCAGAACTGCCACAAAATATTCAAAGTTGTCTTCAAAATGCCAAGAGTTGCCTGCAGGGTATAGGCCTGTTCGTGTTATGTGGAAAGACCTTGACAAGTGCAATGTTTGTCATATGGATGAGGTGTAACACTTTTTGTGATGATTATTTTGATGTTTTGTCTGTTTGGTTCATTCACAAGGAGTTGCACTGCTGCACAGATATGCTAGTTGCTTCCTTTTGATTGTGGAAACCTTGTGATCTGGTCTTGATGAGTTATAAATTGGTTGTCCTGTGCTAACATATATTCTTTTGTTTGCAGGAGTATGTGAATAATCTTTTTCTGCAGTGTGATAAATGCAGAATGATGGTAAGCTGGCATTCTGTTAGTGTGCTATCCTTGACTGTTTTTATGTAAATTGGAGGTCTAATTGTAGAATGTAGATTGCACCAAGACCAACTACACAAATGGCTGTGAGATCTAAATTTCAGTAGTCTCTAACCCGCATTGCAAGTATAACATTGCTTTACGACTTATGAGTGTCATGTGATTATGCACTTGACGTTAATATTTGGTGAAGCACAATGTATGGAGCGACTTTTGTGGTTAAGTAGCGTGCAACACTATAAACTAAACAAAATGGAGAGTTGGAGACTGTATTCAACCCTCTTTTGAAGATATCTGTTCCCGGAACTGCCCTTTCTGCAATTGGAGTAGTTTTATACATTTATCCATTAATCTTTTAATAAGTGTTTTTCATATCAAAGTATACTTGGATTTCAAAAATGGAATTTATTACAGCTGTGATCTGTGAGTAGTATAATGATGCTTTGCATGTGTGCTCATGTTCTCCAGGTGCATGCCAGATGCTATGGGGAGCTGGAGCCTGTAGATGGAATCCTTTGGCTATGCAATTTGTGTCGTCCAGGGGCTCCAGAGTTCCCTCCTCCTTGTTGCCTATGTCCTGTAATTGGTACTTACTATTAAGGGAAAATCGCACTTTTAGTCCCTGAAATAGTCACTATATTGAAATGTTAGACCCGTCTTCCCTAGTTTGTAAATGTCACCCCTCAATTGTCTAAATTGCCGCAAATGTGGTCGTTTGAGGGGTGAAATGTACAATGTGGGTGAAGAGTACATTTCACCCCTCAAAGGACCACATTTACAACAATTTGGAATATTGAGGGGTGACATTTACAATCTCAGAAATACGGCTCTGACATTTCAATATGATGACTATTTCAGGGACTAAAAGTACGATTTTCCCTACTATTAAATATATCTTACTATGTCTTGTTGTTTTGAATGCTAGATTCTGTGCTTTTGTATCTGAATTAAATATTTATAGGAGGTGCTATGAAGCCTACAACAGATGGACGATGGGCGCACCTTGCTTGTGCCATTTGGATACCAGGTTTTCCACTGCATGATCTCTCTTCACTTTTCTTTCTATTGTTGTTTGCTATATTTCCATGATTCATTGATTTAATAAATTTTCTGTTTACTTCAGAAACTTGTTTGTCTGATATTAAGACAATGGAGCCCATTGATGGATTGAATAGGATCAACAAGGTATCTTTTGTACACTTTATTTTTCAACCTTTAAAGTGATCATATATCCTTAAAGTTGAACACAAAAAGAACACATGTTTTTAGATGCACTTTTTGATGTGCATAGAACCATATCAAATTCTATATATGTTTGTTCCCAGTTAAATATACTTTGTAGAGTCCGCTGATTATACTTATTGTGCTTTTTTGTCTTTCTTTCAAGGATCGCTGGAAGCTCTTGTGTAGTATTTGTGGTGTTCCTTACGGAGCTTGCATACAGGTAAGCTATTGCTTGTTTATCAATTTGAAACTTTATACTATTCATGATTCAATTTAAACTCTTGGCTAGGATGATCTTGAGGTAATGGGAACACCTTCTAACATTGTCATTCATGGGGACCAAAATCCTCTGATCAACCAAAATTATGGATATCTTTCAAATTTCCCACTTATTAACACCCTCAACTAAATTCATTTATAAAGTAAACTAGTTAGGTTCAAGGACTAGTTAAGTTTTTATAGGCAGTAATATCAGTATACTATGTGATCAAAAGTAATCATCATTCAGTGCTTCAAACTCTTTACTCAATCTCAATAATCATTTTTCCGTTTAGCTAATTTGTTTCTAGAGGACATTTTGCAGTGCTCAAATAATAACTGTTGTGTAGCATATCACCCTCTCTGTGCACGTGCTGCTGGATTTTGTGTTGAGGTGAACTTTTTTCCTTCCATTTTATAAATTGTACAGAACTATACAGACTATTATACTAACATTCTTGTTCAGTGAGGAATTTAATTTCCTGAATCTAGTTCTGCTATTCATCTTCTTAAACTTTAAAATCATTTTGCAGCTTGAGGATGAGGATAGATTGTATCTGATTCCTACAGATGAGGATGAGGAGGACCAGTGCATACGTCTGATTTCTTTCTGCAAGAAGCATAGACCTCTTTCTAATGAACGACCTGCTGTGGATGAATTGCTTGCTCAAAGAGTGTGTGACTATTCAGACTATGTTCCTCCACCAAATCCTTCTGGCTGTGCTCGCAGTGGTCTGATAATATATATTTTCCTCTACCATAGCATCACCTGTTTTTTCTTCTATTTTACAAGTTTCTTCACCTGGCTATAAACAATTTCATTTCTGAACAGATCCCTTTATCATGCTAATATTAGTTTTAAGTCTTATTTTTGCAAGTTAATTCATCCGCAAAGTGGTGAAGATGATTTCTTCTTCATGGTCATATTCTTGTCTCCAAAATCTTTTGGGAATAAGCCTTGGATTTTGTTGTTGTTGTTGGTCATATTCTTCTCCACCAATTTTTTAGTGGATATTACTTCATCACCCCAACTTTTTCTCTTAATCATTTCATGCCTTTGCCTCTTATTCTTGTTCCTTCAGGAACATACATTGTTCTAAAACTCGCCAGACGCTAGTCGGGCGGTTGAGGGGTGCCTAGCGCCTAGGCGGCCGACTAGGCCGATAAATCACTTCGAACATATATTGTGTAATAAATAAAGAAGTGGAGATCAGACAACTGGAATTATATAAATAATGACACCCCCATTCAAAAGGTGTAAATTATGTAAAAAGAAAAGAAAATAATAAATGCTAGCGTTTATTCTGAAATAACTGAGTTGTTACAAGATACATACTATAATAGGGATATCTAGAGTTTTGATTCCTGTACCTTCAATTGGCATGCGTTGATTATCATTCTTTGACTCTTAAGCAATCCCTACAACTCTAAGTTTAAAGCGTGTCTTTCTAAGAAGTGGGCCAATCAAATAAAGGTTGTATAGGCTAGTAAGAGCTGGGGCTTAATTTTTATAGTGATAATTGCTATGCTTGTTCTTTTACTATTCTAAACTCTAATTTCTATTAAAGTTATCGTTCTTCCTTTCTTGGATTGCATGTCATTTAGCTGTTTCATGCTTCTTGGTCTCTAATGTGAGTTTCATGCAGTTGATTGCAAGACATTTCATTGTCTAATATGCTCATTATTATCTTAACAGAGCCCTATAATTATTTTGGAAGAAGGGGACGGAAAGAGCCAGAAGCCCTTGCTGCTGCGTCCTTGAAGCGTTTATATGTAGAAAACAGGCCATACTTGGTTGGTGGTCATAGCCAACATGATTCCTTATGCAGTACCTCTTCCAACACACCAGCTTGTTCCAATTATTCAGTCGACCTTCAAAAGCTAAAGAATTCCCACCTTCATGTTTCGAAGAGCATCCTATCAATGACTGAGAAATATGAACATATGAAGGGAACTGTTAGAAAAAGATTGGCATTTGGTATGTTAAAAGTTTCACATTCTCAATGCCAGAAATTAAGTAGCTGTTTTCTTGGACATATGCTCGGACATATTTCTATAATGCTTTTTTGGGGTCAAATGCACAGTTGTTGATTTTCAAGTCTCTATTACCAGTATTTCCCATTTCGTGTCCCCCAATCTTCAAATGCTTCATATTTGTCTTTTTGCTTTGATGTGTGACACGTTCAGTTCTTTCTGTGTATTAACTGTGCTTTGCTTCCTTGACTCAGGAACTATATCTATAATCTATAAAGTGATGTTGTATTTTAAACCTTTAATCAAATACTATGCGTTTAGTCACTTGCATCAAATAGTACCTGATATCTTCTTATTTGTTTTGATTCCAGGGAAATCTGGCATTCATGGGTTTGGCATCTTCACGAAGTGCCCCCATAAAGCCGGCGATATGGTATTTAAATTAGAATTTCGATACAATTTTCATAATTTTCTATTTCTGAGAAGCCTAATTTTTAAATTTTATTGCCTGATAGGTCATTGAATACACTGGAGAACTTGTCAGACCTCCAATTGCTGACAGAAGGGAACACTTGATTTACAATTCTCTTGTGGTAAGTAGATCATCATTTATATATGTATTTTTTCTTTTTTTTTCAGAATGTGAAATGATCACTGTTTACTGTTATCTTGTTGTCCCCATCGAGGAAGAGATATAACAACAACAACATTACCCCAGTGCCGCAAGGGCTCCCACCTGCGGTGGGGTAAGAGGGGGGTTGGATGTAGGCAGCCTTACCACTGTACTAAAGCACAAAGCGACTGTTTCTGATAGAACACTTCAATTATACAGAGAAATTACAGAGAACTATATCAAGAATCAACTGCAAATTTTATTAGAGATGAACAAGAACAATGGCCTAAGCCCCCAATGAGCCGAAGCCCCCCAAAAGAGAGAGAGAGAATATCAATCTTCCCAAGTCCCAAGACTAAGTCTAAAACAGCCTACCTACTAACTCCCCTTTCCCAGCTATTTATACTGTCTTTTCATTTATTACTGTTATTATTTCTATTCTGAGTCTAATGGGCCTGATTCCTATCAATACTCCCCCCCTAAACATCCACCTTGTCCTCAAGGTGGGGAAATAGGAACCAAGCTTTGAATTCAGCTTCCTCCTGATGCCTCTCCCTTCCCAGTACCGCGCTGATGGCGGTATCATATGTTCCCATACTTCTAGTCCTCTAGATGAAAAACTTTTGATCAGCCTCAGCATAGCATGTGCCTCTGACTTCATCCTATCTCTTGAGCGAAACTTCACACTGAATATCTCACACAGAACTTCATCCACACATGTGTTAGAACTTAGAAGAAAGTTCAAGAGAACTTGAGTCATACTGTGTTTCTCTTTTTGAATTTAAGAATTCAACAGTCTCCAATTGTATTTCCCAATTCTGAACCCGAAGTAGCATTTGTTCCGTTATATTGCACATCCTGCTGTCCACTTTAATACTAAGCTTATTTCCTTTGTATAATGCACCCATCAGCTTCAATACTTGCTCATTCATCTTCACTTCTTTCACCCTTGGAATTTCTCTCCCTTCTAATAATTCCTGCCTCTTACGTTGGAGAATTATCCTGATATTAGGATCAAAAGAAACTCCACCAGCAGCTTGGATGTCATCCATTGGCAAATGATTCAACACTAATGTCAGAAGATCTAGTGAACCAGTTACTAATTCTTCAAGTTGTTGTGGTGATTTAGTCAACATTTGCCTAACATAAGGTAAATTGTGAACAGTCCAAGGCTGTGTGCTACCAGGAGTCCTAATAGCTAGAATTTGCTGGTAACTCTTTGGTGCTACCCTTTGTAATACCCGTGTGAATGATTCATAAACCTCAGGAAGTAATAGGTTATGAATTGTCATTGCAGAGATGTCTCCCAAGATTATATAACTTTCAGGTGCTTTGAATGGATTATGTAAGTCAAGTTTGGTGTAGTCTAACATGCTCTCAACCCATGGCTGCAATTCTGCTCCTTGTACTTCGAGGTGTTGGCCATGGCTAAACTTATCAGCATCATGAAAAGGTTTGCGGTTTCCAAAAATGATGGCAGATTCTTCTGAAATAAGATCAACCTCTTCCTCCTGACCCTCTGTACCAGGTCTATTTTTACCCATGCATGAATTTTCTGAAACCATTTCGTTTGGTTGTAGAGGTTGTTGACTTTTGATAAGAACAGCTTTATCATCTGCAGTGTTCATGGTTTTAATTAATCCAGTTTCAGAAGCAATTAGGACTCTATTTCCAAAAGAACATGGTTGAATAAGCTTGTTAGCAATAGAAACTTGGCTGGAAACTAAATCCACATCCTCGGCAAGATTGGAAGAAACACAATCTGGCGATTCTGGCCATTGAATAACCTGTCTTTTCTCCTTGATTTCATCTCTCTTATTCCCTTGCTTGATTACAGGTTCAGTTGGTTCCATCCGGTTTTTCTTGGTTGACTGGGAAGTTTCTAACGCTGGGTGAGACACTTGTGAACGAGAAGTTCTTGGTGACCTCGATGACTCATGTTTGGCTGTCTTCCTTGTCTTCTGCCGGTGTCTAGATGGAAAATCCCTAATCAAGTCTTCCTTTAGAGCCTTCCAACTATCTTTTCTCTTTTGAAAATCCCACCATTGAAACCAGCCATCTGCGGCTTCCCCCATTGCCTTTGCTGCGAAGTCAACCTTAAATTTTTCCGCAATAGCTTGGACTCGGAAATATCTTTCCATCTTCTCTATCCATTCGTACGCTTCATCCTCGTAGAATAGAGGTAATTCCTCCGTCTTTGAATTAGCTGAATTCCTAGAAGCGACTTTAGACGAAGAATGCGAACTGTGAAAATCCTCAAGCGAAGGAGAAGATTCTCCTATCGATCATGTCTTTCTTGAATGTGAATCGATGGCCGATGAGGAATTATGCGAACTCTGATGCGAAGAGCGATGATAAGAATGATGAGAAGAACTCGAAGAGTGATGTGAAGAGCTTTGCGAAGAAACGGTTCGCGAATCTGTCTGCGATCGCGGAGGAGGCTTACTGTTCCCCTTTCTGTCTTCCGATGCCTTTGGATTAGTGGAATGTTGCGTTCGTGGATGATGAGAATTGTGATGCGATGATGAGGGAGACTCTGTTTGTGACTGCGAATGGTGATAAGATATTCGCGATTTCGAAACATGAGAAGACGTTCGCGATTCCTTCCGCAAACTGTTGAGCGATGGCGACGAACGTGGATAAGCAGAAGACCGGCGATTTTTAGGGCTCCTTGATCGACGTCTGCTATGATATTGGTCCATACTGTTCAACAGCTCTTTCATCTTGTTCAGCGTAGCTTTCATTCCCGCTTTCATCTCCGTCATATGTCGATCTATATTGTCAAAACTTTTTCCATTTGTGGTGTCAAAATATCCTCCATGATTCAGATTCTCGGTCTCCAGGAAATAAATAACGTGCTCTGATACCACTAATAGATCAAATCCAGGAATATTGAAAATTATAGAAATTATATCAAGAAACTACTTCACACTTTATTGATCAAGAACAAGAAACAATGGCCGAAGCCCCCCAATGAGCCGAAGCCCCCCAAAAGAGAGAGAGAATCTCAATCTTCCCAAGTCCCAAGACTAAGTCTAAAACAACCTACCTACCAACTCCCCTTTACCAGCTATTTATACTATTTTTACATTTATTACTGTTATTATTTCTATTCTGAGTCTAATGGGCCTGATTCCTATCAGTTTCCGGATGACCCATGATGAAAATCGCGTCGAAAATTCCATGAACTGACGTCTGCTTCATAACGAAAAGCGCAGACCGCTTAGTGAACCATTTTGCTTTATTCCATCATATTCCCATTGGGGAAGAGATATATAATGCAAATCCATCCAGCTTTTTTTTAATTATACTGATTATGCACTGTTCCCATATATATATGATGAAACTAGCCGATGTTTGAGTCTTAAGAGTTCGGATTAATACTATGTATATGATGTAATGAAGGTTAAAGGAAATAAATCATACTTTTAAGCATAATAAAAAGTATTACTAAACTAAAATATCTTGGGTCGAGGTGTATACAATTCGTGAATTTATTTTATCATCATTATTGGAATCCTATAATGTAGACATAGAAGTTTTATTTCAAAGATGAGTGTTTCATGTTTATGGGTTAGTGTATGTTTTGGAACTTGAAGAGTACTTGTTTCAAAAAATGGGAAGAACTAAACTTTGTCTTTTTTCCCCTCCTGATTTTTTTGAGAAGGGTTTAGAATTTCATACCCTTGTGCCTCAATGCTCTTGGAATTTAATTGCTTTCTCACTCAGCTTGAGTGTGAGCGGAACTTTTAATCTCCTCAGATGTTTTGTATTTTGAAGGGTAATTTTTATTTTAATTATTGAGTATAGTAATGCCTGAATGTCTCATTGTATCCCTTATTTTTTCCTTTTATGTGTAATTGCAAGCTAATTTTATCAAGGGAAAGTTCCCGAAATAGGACTAAAACAGTTTGAAAATTCCAAAATAGGACTGTCATGTTTTTTATTCTCAAAATAGGAGTAATTATTGCCAAGTTTAGAAAATATTGTCATGTTTGAAGTCTGTTACTGCCAAAACATGACATTAATTAGTCCTATTTTGGGAATAAAAACATGGTCGTCCTATTTTGGAATTTTCGAACCTTTTTAGTCCTATTTCGGTTAATATTCTCTTTTATCAATAGATTTCCTTATCAAGTCCTCATCCGTGATGCATTCGCCTGGTGTGCTATCCTGACACATCGTTTCCTTTCTTAAGTCCTGCAATGAATATCGAGTCATTCCTCCTTCGGTCCAACCTTTTGTTCCATACAAAGTAATTCCCAAGTATGAAGGCTAAAGGAAATAAATCATACTTTTAAGATAGTTGATGTGCATGGAGCCATGCAGGTAGAAATTTTATCAATGACCAATTTTAGGATAATTGAAATAAGTGTGTTGGTGAAGACAAAAACTTAAGTGATTCTTACATGCAAAAATAAATGAATTGAGAATTATATTTTTCGTTAATTTTTTCTATTCTCAGGGTGCTGGGACCTACATGTTTCGGATTGATGACGAGCGTGTCATAGATGCGACAAGGGCGGGTAGCATTGCACACTTGATCAATCACTCCTGTGAAGTATGCACAACTTTTATATTTCATTCGCCATTGATTATCTACATTTCAGTTTAGAAAGTCCCGTCATGCATGATTTAAGATAGTTGATGTGCATGGAGCCATGTAGGTAGAAATTTTGTAGAAAAATACACCAGGTCAATAAATGGTAATCGCGATGGAAAATTGGTAGAAAAATACATTTGAGGGAAGAAACATCATCTGAGAATGAGACTAGTGCTCCTTTGTCAGAGCTGTTATTTGCAAGTGTTTGCAATTGTTTGCATCCAGGTTAATATAATATGTTGCACTGATGCGTGTTTTGGCATGTGCACAGCCAAATTGCTACTCTAGGGTTATAAGTGCCAACGGTGATGAACGTATAATCATATTTGCCAAAAGAGACATCAAGCAGTGGGAAGAATTGACATATGATTACAGGTTTCTTTGAAATCATCCACTCCCCTTCCCATAATCTATTTAGTGTCTTGTGCTAATCCTTCTAAAACATTCGCAGATTCCTTTCTATTGATGAACAACTTTCTTGTTATTGCGGCTTCCCAAGATGCCGAGGTGTAGTTAATGATACTGAAGCCGAGGAACGGATGGCAAAACTGCTTGTACCACAACATGAATTGATAGACTGGACAGCAGAATAAGAGAAGTCAGTATATCAATACTGTTTTGTATTCTTTATTCTCTGGCATTTTTAGTGCGCCTAAAGTTGTTGTAACTTCCTCTATAATGCAATGAAAATCCAGATGATTGCAGTTGTCATATAATGAAATTTTCATTTTGCAATTGACAGTCTTATAATGCGCAGTTATTGCCTTATAATGTTAGGTTATTATAATTGCTAGAGCCCCACAGCATAAAATTAATGAGATAATGATGAGTAAATAGACCATGGTTGAACTAGCTTATGGATTAGTTTCAGTGTGGTTTGACCCAAGTGTCTGATGGCCTAGTTTAGCAACTTCAATCCAATCCCGAATTCTATCCATACCAATCATATATGGGATGATTATGGAATAGGCCATGTTTTATACATCTAAAGTTATTTGGCAATTGATTGTCTTATAACGCGCAGCGGCGCAGTTATTGCCTTATAATGTTAGGTTATTATAATTGTTAGAGCCCCACAGCATAAAATTAATGAGATAATGTCGAGTAAATAGGCATGGTTGAACTAGCTTATGGATCAATTTCAGTGTGGTTTGACCCAAGTGTCTGATGGCCTAGTTTAGCAACTTCAATCGAAACCCGAATTCTATCCATACCAATCATATATGGGATGATTATGGAATAGGCCATGTTTTATGCATCTAAAGTTATTGTAACTTGTTCAAAGAATCTGTGCACATACGTTAATCTTTCCTCTCTTTTGTGTAGATGTGATAAAGGAGAATGGGCTTACAGAACATCCCTACCTTCCTGCATTGATATCTGAAGATGAAAATGTAAGACTTGATATTTTCCCAGATGAAGAAGTTAGGGAGCTGGTTAATATATTTAGTGCAATAGCCTAGTTTGCTCAGACGGGCTAGTGCAACATTCTACCAATCAATCTGGGAGACTGGGGCATTGAGAAAAGTGACCTGATAGAAGCAATTGTTGAAATTTCCAAGAGGATAAATTTCCCTTCTGTCTAAGCTTCTACAATATAGGTGCTTACTGCATTCCTAAAATTGATACACCTGTTTACCGGAGAGCCTGTTGGCCTATTAGTTAGTGTAGAATGTGTAGTAAGATCATATCTAAAACCATGGACAGTATATTTTACGTACACTTGCTGAAGTTGATCTCTGAGCATCAGAGTGTATGCCCTACTGATAGGGCCAATACAGATAATAATGTTCTTTTGGCTCAGGAGATGGTTGAGCAGATCAATAGGAATCTTGTTAGATGGGCAACATTGATCATGATATTGGAAATAGCCAAGTCATATGATAGACTATAACAGTGTCCTGGGAATTGATTTCTCTATCCTGGAAGAATTTCGCTTCAACAAAGAGTGGATTGAAATGGAAAAATTCGCGGTGAATGTACTTTGTACTCCATTGATCAATGGTGATCTTACTTGATATCCCATAACTATTCATTCGAATAATTCTTATGGCTAAAAGTCTACATAGAGGTTCTTTTTCTGACTCATTGGTGTCAATATGTTGGAGGTCCTGTCAAATTGGTATCCTCTCTGTAATATATCAATTTTTTGTATCAGTATTTTTTATAAGTTATCTTATTAGTAACAATTCTTTCATTTGTATCTATTTGGTACAAAAAGCTTTTGAAATTACATTAACCATTTAGTACATATTAATATATGGAGGGTGTACTTTTACAAATCAACTCCCTTGTCTACTTAGCATTATTCTTTTGAGGCTTTTCATCTTTGTTAATATGAATCTTTGATTTGTCTCGATTAGCCTAGACAGGTGTGGATGCCCATGTGATGATGGTGTACGACCATGAGAGGGCTGTTTTTTTGCAGTATTCATGAAGCAAATTGTTGCTTTGCTTGGGTTTGATTGGAAATGTCTCTGTTGTACACAACAATTTTAAATCTATTTCAGTGCTAATAAAGTAAAATCTTCTCAATTGAAATTAGATTTTACTTGACTTGCTATTATGTCCAATGATTGAAATTCACATTCAGATTTTGCTATAAAGTCCTTATTTGTTAATTAGATTTAATTAAATGCTGATAAATATAATGCTATTAATTATTATAAGGCATTACTAATTTCAAAATATCACTATTCTTTTCAATTAACCAGATTATCATCTCTTGTGTTGAATGTTGCATGACTTGCATCAACAAATAAAACTTTATGCAATTAATGATTTACGAAGTTACTCTTATAAAAACTATTATAAAGATTATTTGTCGATGCAACATTTAATCCAACATTTGTATAAAAACTTTATACAAATAAAACTTTATGCAAATATGCAATTAAGGTTCAAAAACTATTATGAGATTAAGTATAGGTGGAATTATTTTTATGTCATGTTAATCCAACATTTTAATTCACTTAATATCATTCCTAATTCAGGCTACTTGTTCAATATAAGAATTAAAAATAGCAGGTAATGTAGATGAAAGAACTGAGCCCAACAAATTCATCAGGCTACTAATTCAGTCTGTGCAACGAGGGAAATTCTATTCACGGCGCTCAAATTACTATTTATAGCCAATAATTTAAATATAAATAAATTAATTTGGTTCAAATATCTAAATTAACCCTGCAATAAGAATAATTTGAGAAACTTCAGCCATTTTTTCCACAAAGACATCCAAAGTTGATTTATCTCATTAGCGGTCAATGTGCGAATTTTAGAAATCAGTATCAGTAAAAAAGTGACTCATCCAACTAACTACGTACTAAAGCAAAAAATAAGAGTAGCAAATAACCAAACAATAATGGAGAGCCGCTATGGTAGCTAAAAATTTTGGGTGATTCTACCCAAATTTATGGAATTCTAGCTGAAGTAGCTGCATTGGTTGATTATCCTGATTTAAGAAAAAAATAATTTAAAAATATATTTTATCAATAAAATAAAGAAAAAATTATATGTAAAAATAGCTAAAATGGTCATCTACGGTAACTTCAGCCAATACAGCCAGAAAAGTAACTTCAACCTTACATTTTCTGCTTATTACACAATTCAGCGCGTGAAAAAAAAAGTTACGCGTTTAGTGAAAATGTTGGTTGATAAGCCCGATAAGCCAAAAAACAGTATTGCCAAACGGTTTCGGAGTATAATATACATTCCAAATTTCTTATAATTCGTTGGTTTTGTGGGAGAGGCCAATATAATTGAAGGTAAAGGAGAAAGGGAAATTTGATTATATATATCAGAGATGACAAGATCGGGTCACGGGTAAGGTAGCATGCATGATCCTACCCATACTTTCATTTTCCTAGCCAAGCTAGCTTTATCATTTTGTCTGTGCAAAACATATTGGTTGTTTTTTGCTGCTCGTTTGATGACAAAAATGATGTCCTGTCATGGACCTCATGCTAACATGTATTTCATCAGGTTACCATTATTCAATTTTGGCAGCAATACAAGTGTAATTTTAATATTCAGCCTATATTCTATTTTGAATAGTTATATGTCAATCTGATAGGAGAATTAACTCATCATTACGTAGGTTAAGTTGTGCCACTTTACTCGCCGATATGAGACGACTTAATATGCATGGTTTGAATAGTTCTATATCACGACTTGGATTCTAATGGACAAATCTGATGGGAGGATTATATTAACTCATGCACAGTTTAATACTAGTATAATAGTTCATGGGAGCAGACCACTTTAAAATTTCTACATTTTTACTTTTACAATCTTTTTATTGGCCTGACTTAAGTCCCGGATAACATAAAATTAAAATCAAACCAAAACCTTAATAGACCATATCAGACTAGCACAATTCAATCCAATTAAAAACACCGTTAATAGAATTTGATAGAGTATATATCTAGAGAGAAGTGAGGGCTAGAGAGAGAAGTGCAAGTAATGATTCAATAGAATGATTTTGTCACCCCTACAACTACTTTCAGAGGAAGTATTTATAGGAAAAATACGGGCTGGGCTCTAAGCCTTGAGCTTGGGAGGCCCATCTACAACTAGACCGCTATTAGGTCGAATACAAAGTAAATGATGGGACATATAAATGAATAAGTGTGAAATCTAGTTCAGTGAAGCTTCCGTGGCCGACGGGGGTCTGGCCGGCGAGGGCACGACCGACGAGGGCACGACCGATGAGGACACCCTGGTTCCCTGGCTTCAGGGTCATATTCTGAGTCAGTCCCTCTTCGGCCGACGAGGGTCCTTTGGCCGACGAGGGCACTGCGTAGTGGCTCGTACTTTCTGTTCCTCTGAGTATGTGGGTCATGGGGCCTAGACCCATATACTCCATCAGAATTCAATACTGGGCATTGGAGCTTAGTTATCGATTATGTGTGACTTCGTATTTTTCTAAGGTCAAACAGTCAACCTTATAGAAAGAGTAATAATTTTCACTTTTATGCGTGTTCAGCTATTTCTTTTCAGTTTTACGATCTGTTTTACTTCGATATAGGTGTTTGGAAAAAATAAAAATAAACGTATCTATCGAGTCTTTTTTATTGAATTTAATAAATTAGGTTGTTATCAAACTAGGCTTTTAGTGTGGCTAGTTTCTTATTAGACCATCTCCAACAAGGCAACAATCACCAAAACCTCCACCACAATAGGAGAATTGTCATTTTTTGCTCCAACAATTACACCAAATCCTACACTATTTCACTAAAATGGTGGATGGTTTGATATTTTATGCTATATTTGGCGCAACAATGGGATGCACCATCTTCCCCTTCTATTATTTATCTTTATTACCATTTTATTAATGATGTAGGAATTATTATAATATTATTGTAATATTTAATTTTATATGGTTTTAGCTTGTATTTGTGAAATATTGATTATTGTATTTTAATGAGTGAAATGCGTGAAACATGCGTGAAATATTGATCATAGTAGTATTTTAGCTTGTATTTGTGAAATAATGAGTGAAATGCCAAGATACATATTTGATGAGGGGATAATGTATAAATATATGGTAATTAGATAATTAAATATAATAATGGTAAAAAGTTAGTAAAAAGAATAAAAAAAGAATATTCCTTTGTACTGATAAAAATGATGTAAACTTTTGGAGATAAAGTAGTGTATGATGTGATGTTTACACCATTTTAATGCAAATTGTGGATTTTTTAAAACTAAACACTACTCCTAACTAATTCATAACAAATTGTGCCGTGGAATACTGGATCAGTGCAATTTTTGCAAGTCACCTCCATTACAAAAGAATAAAACTTGGGCTACACACTTTGTGTACACACTCTTACACACTCATGTCTGTCCCATACAAAACGTATTTGTCAAATACGTTTTGTCTGTGACAGACATAAAAAAAGTCTTCACAGACATGAATGTGTAAGAGTGTGTACCAATAGATTTTTTCATTACAAAATAGTATTGATGGAGTATATGACCCGGGAACCCCCGGCCCACAGACTCCTACTACTCCAATAAAGGCCCAATAGGCCCAGGAAACACAACAAGCCCAAATCACGGCGCCCAATATACCAAGCAGCCCACAGATGCGCACCAGGGGTGCCCTCGGCTAGTCCTCTACAGCCGGGGGGCACCTTTCCCGACATGATACCCGCGCCATATGCGTGCAGATCACCGTACCCTGTACAACGTCCCATCCAACAGCCGCATTAAATGCGGCCACATGCGGTTTCCAGCGCCAACCAGTTGAGGTGACCTCTCGGCCAATAGACGCTTGACACGTGTCCCTGTCTGGCATTTATTGCTATTATAAATAGCACCCCATTTCTCCATTTGTAACCACGCTGAAAACGCTGAACACTTTACGATATACTTTCTCTCTCTATACTTACTTGCTCTGACTTCTCTCTTGTTATTCCCCGTGATAACCCCTCGGATAAGCTACCCCCGGGTACACTATCCATCATTTGGTGCTCTCGTTGAGAGGTCGAACAATCAAGTAAGAAACCCTCCCACTCGACCAAACACAAAACACCCATCTAAAATGGTGAGAACAACTCGTGCCAACTCCAAGAATGTAGAGGACAGGAACCTGGCCCTCGGCGAGGTCGACGTCCCCGAAGCCTCCAACAGGGCTCCCGGGGGCAGCGTCATCGCCGGGTTGGACCAGACGGCTGTCGACCTACGCCAGCAGATTCAACAAAATGCCCCCGATGCCCGCCTCAGCATCGAGGCCAAGAAAAAGGACCGGAGCGAAAATCAAATTAGCCCTCCGGTCATCACAATTGACGTGCAATCGGCGCTCTCCGCCTTCATCCAGACGCTCACCCAGAACCCGGGTGCCTTCAGCACTTTGGTTCCCCTCCAACCTCAGGTGGGGGAGAACATTATGCCTCCCCCTCACCCACGACCCCTCGGTAACCCGGTCCTCCGGATGGGGAACTCCGAGGGGTCGTGGCCCAAGATACGGCCTCCCAGGAAGTCCAGTCCCGGGACCGCCACAACGTGAACAAGGAACAACTCCGGACCTCCGCCCTCGAGAGACTCGGAGGGGCGCAAGAACGCCGAGGGGTCCAAGACCGCCTCGGGGGGAAGGCATTCCAAAGGCCTCAGGAAAGTGGCGGGTCCATCTCCAGGGCCAATGAAAGGCGTCCCCCTCAGGACAAGGGCAAGGCACCTCTCCATGCCGACGACGCGCGCCACCAGATCAACCAGGCCCACTCGGCCCGGATCCATTCGCAGGGGGCGGAGGCCCTCCCGAAGGACCCCCGGGACGAAATCATCCTATATATGATCTTATTTGACATTTTTTTGTAAGTTCGAGTCCATATCTGACCCTTATCCCTTTATTTTGAGACAGTACAAAAAGAAAAGTTGAAAGTATATCAGGGATAGAGACGGTGATAAAGGCTTCTAAAAAGTACTGGTTAAAAAACAAAAATGATGTTTGTACACACTCTTGTACACACTTTTGTACACACCTATGTCTGTGAAAGCTTTTTTTTTTGTCTGTGAACATCGATTCATAGACAATGTTTTGCACAAACAAAATATTGTCTGTGAACCGGATTCACAGACAAAAAAAAAGCTTCACAGATATGGTGTGTATAAGGTGTGTAGAAGGGTGTTTACATCCGGTTAAAAAAATAAAGAGGGACTTAAAAGTACGTAAGGTAGCAATGAGTTTACCCGTACATCCAACGGCAGACATCTTCAGTTTCCCCCACCTTTCTCTCCCATTCTTTATGTCTTTTTCCATGCCCACCATGATTACCTCTTTCTGCTTCTCGTGACTAAAGTTAACCATCTTCATCATCATCACTCTTTCCCAAACCCCAGTCAGTAGTACAACATTCCTTTCTCTGATCATCATATCATGAATGTATACCAATCATCAGTAGCACAGTTTTCAATCAACACACCAATATATAATGAAATTTGACTCCATGATGATCCGTATCTTCTTTACATTATTGAGTATCACCAGCGCGGGCGCCGTCGTCGCCGGCGACGATGGATCCTTGCAGCTCAATGACGACGTTTTAGGCCTCATCGTCTTCAAATCCGGCATCCATGACCGGTCATTGGACCTTGCTGGGTGGACCGAAGACGACAACACTCCCTGTGGTTGGAAGTTCGTCCAATGCAATACTGCGAACGGCCGAGTCTACCGGCTCTCACTCGACGGTTTGGGCCTGTCGGGGAAGATCGGCCGGGGGCTGGAGAAATTACAGTACCTCGAAGTTTTATCATTGTCCGGCAACAACTTAAGCGGCGGCATTCCTCCGCAGTTAGGCCTTTTGCCCCATCTGAAAATGCTTAACCTAAGCAAAAACAGTCTCTCTGGGAGTATACCTCTGTCTTTGAGTACAAAAACTACCTCTATGCGATTCCTCGATCTTTCCCGGAACCGGCTGTCAGGACCTGTGTATGATAACATGCTAGAAAATTGGAATTCGCTCCGGTTTTTGTCTCTGGCAGAGAACCATCTAGAAGGCCCGGTGCCAAGCACACTGTCTAAATGCACACTTCTGAACCATCTCAACCTGTCAAATAACCATTTCTCAGGAGAACTTAATATGAGGTTTTCTGGTGCGGTTTGGGGAGGGCTGGAAAGGCTAAGGAGTTTGGACCTTTCGAACAATGAGTTTTTTGGGCAACTCCCGCCATTGCCACACAATCTGAAGGAGCTGTTTCTACAGGGAAATAAACTGTCCGGTGAAATTCCAATTGATTTGTTATTAGGATTTTACTGCCCACATCTCATCAGGCTTGATTTGAGTGGGAACCTCTTCACAGGTACACTCCCATCTCTTAAAAGGCTTAATAACTCACTCTCGTATCTAAGCCTGTCGAATAACCTCCTTGATGGGGATTTCCCTGAATGGATTGGGAAAATGTCTAGCTTGGAATATCTTGATCTTTCCAGGAATGGCTTGAGAGGATCAATCCCAGATTCAATAGGAGGGTTGAAAATGTTGAAACATTTAAGCCTTAATGATAACAAGTTAACTGGTGAGATTCCAAATTCACTAGTTTCTTGCACTGCTTTGACTGTGCTTCGGTTAAGAGGGAATAAGCTGACAGGTTCTATACCTGAGGGGCTCTTTGGGGTAGGACTGGTATTGTTAGATTTATCAGGAAACAGTCTCAACGGTTCGATCCCACCTGGTTCGGGGAAGCTGATTGAGTCTCTCCAAGTGATGGACCTATCAGTGAACAATCTCACTGGAGATATTCCCCCAGAAATGGGACTCTTATCCAGCCTCAGATATTTGAATCTTTCTTGGAATGATTTTCACTCGAGATTGATACCTGAAGTCGGGTACTCCCAGAGCCTGATCGTGCTTGATCTTCGAAACAGTGCATTAACAGGATCCATCCCGGGTGATGTTTGTGAGTCCGGCAGCCTCAAGATTCTTCAGCTTGATGGGAATTCATTGACGGGCAGTATTCCTGACGAGATAGGAAATTGCTCCTCTCTCTACTTGCTGTGAGTTTTTTCTGTCCTAACACATTATATCATCTTATCGTGCATGTCAAATTATTTCACTGCTCAATATGAAGACACCAACACAGATGTACCGAGTACTATTTTACTGGGCATGCTATAAGTCATTCCACTGCATATCTTTGAAAAAATACACTCACAATAGGATCTTGAACTAATTCTCCTACCAACTTCAGATTTTAAAATGGACTCCAAAATCTATGTATCTACTACTATATTGTATGGGTTAAAGTTTGAAATTTTAATCCCCATTTCTAATGAATTCATCTTAAAGAAAGAAAGAATGTCTAATTTTGAAAAAGAAAAGTTTATATAGACAATAAACTGTCATAGAAAGACATTCACTTATGACTCCCCGTTTGCAGGAGCTTGTCACACAACAATATAAGTGGGACCATACCGAGGTCCCTTTCAATGCTGTCAAAACTCATGATTCTGAAGCTCGAAGTTAACCAACTCAGTGGAGAAATACCAATGCAGCTTGGGAAACTGAAAAACCTTCTAGCAGTCAATGTATCCCACAACAGGCTCATTGGACAGCTTCCGTCTGGGAGTATATTCCAGAATTTAGACTCAAGTGCAATAGAGGATAATCTTGGGATTTGTTCATCCTTATTGAAAGGACCGTGTAAGACACATGCAGAAAAGCCATTAGTGATCAATCCGTTTGAATATGCAAATCAGACGGATAATGATGATGTTTATTATGATGGTCAGGGGCATGGAGACAAGCCTTTGGGGTCACCAGGGCAACATAAATTCCTTAGTGTTTCAGCCATTTTAGCCATCTCAGCGGCAGCTATCATCGCGGTAGGTGTGATGGTTGTGACCGTAGCAAACGCCACAGTTAAGAGAAGGATTTCTTTAGCTGAGAACGGGATGGAAAGCATGTGCTCGGATTCTTCAAGGTCCCACCACAGCATGGCCACCGGACAGCTGATACTATTCGGCTCAAAATCGTCCCCTGATCAAATAGACAACAACAGCTTTGAATCGGTTCTTAGAAGTTCAATTGAAGTCGGGGAAGGAGTCTTCGGGACAGTTTACAAGGCCCCGCTAGAAGGTGAAGGGAAAAAAGTTATAGCAATAAAAAAGCTCACAGCATCAAAATTCGTATTGCAGCATCCAGAGGAGTTCGATCGGGAGGTTCGGGCCTTGGGCAATGCCAGGCACCCAAATTTGATTCCCTTGAGAGGGTACTACTGGACACCCCATCTGCAGCTTCTGGTCTCGGATTTTGTGACGGGTGGGAACTTAGAATCCAAGCTCCGCCCCGAAATGGCAGGTCGTCTGATGACATGGCCGGTCCGGTTTAAGATCATGGAAGGAACAGCAAAGGGACTGGCCCACTTGCACCATTCATGTCAACCCCCGATCGTGCACTACAACGTGAAGCCCAGCAACATCCTATTGGATGAGAACCTCAACCCGAGAATCTCAGATTTCGGCCTGGCGAGGCTCGTAACAAAGCTGGACGTGCATGTGATGAGCAATAGGTTGCATGACACGATAGGCTATGTGGCTCCAGAGCTCACACGCCAGAACCTTAAGGTGAGCGAGAAGTGCGATGTGTACGGGTTCGGGATGCTGGTGCTCGAGTTAGTTACTGGTAGACGGCCTGTGGAGTACTACGGGGAGGACACAGTTGTGGTTCTGAATGATCACGTGAGGGTGTTGCTTGAGCAAGGGAATGTGTTGGATTGCGTGGACCCAAGCATGGGTGGGTCATACCCAGTTGAAGAAGTGTTGCCCGTTTTGAAGCTCGCATTGGTATGCACGTCTCACATACCGTCCAGCAGGCCTTCAATGGCCGATGTGGTGCAGATCTTGCAGGTCATCATAACCCCTATTCCAGCACAGAGTTGAAGCATCAAAGTCTGGCAGGCGCACATCCAAATAACTGAACATAATTTTCCTTTTTTTCTGGGCATTTATTATTTATTTGTACAATTTCATATTTGCATCATCATAATTAGTCCATTGCTCTGTCAATATGTATCCACTCCATTGGTTGAAATTGGCATTCACGCATACCAGCAGATAAACTCATACACATTCCCCTTGACAGTTATATTACTTTATCGGCTATGATCAATTGATATAAAGTAAATAAATATAGACATAGTGCTAGAACAAACCACCTGCCTCTTTCATCACCCCCATTCTGTCATTCTTAGAGCATCTTTAATGCTATTCTTTTGACATTCTAAAATTCTGCCATATCATCAATTTTAAAAGAGTGATGATATTTTTATCTCGAATGCATTCTTTTACGGGTCCTTTTAATCTGACATGGAACCAACACTTTCCAACTCCTTGACCGTTGGAGTTTCAAAAGTGCGTCTAACGCCGTGAAGGATGACTCACACACAAAAACTAGCCCTCAATTTTTAAAAAGTGAAAGACAAATAATATACCACACAAATTCTTATTTTTGTAAAAGAAAGAAAAGACAATCTTAACGGGACGAGGAGGGAGTATTTATTATTCCTACACCTACTACATACCGAAAATAGGACAACCTTAACGGGACGGGTGAGTATTTATTATTCCTACACCTACTACATATTGAAAGTACAAAGCACAGATGATTAAATTTGAAGACAGATGAAGTAACCAAAAGAGAAGAATAGTGATCATCTTCCCCTTTTCTAATGGTCATCTTCTTGCTTGTAGAAGGACTGATAAGTTTGTACCCTTGTCCTTGAATCCAGTTGTTCCTTTTCTTCCACAAATCCTGCCGTCATTCTGATGAAGTCTTTCATGTGCAGCTCCTTCCATTCCTCAAAGTCCCACTCCCCGTACAAGTCTGGATCAGCCTCGTTAGCCCAAACATACGTATAGGCCTGAAAGGCTTCCGAACTATCATCCACAAGAGAAACATCGACATTCCTCTTCTCATATTCAACATCCTCGAAGTTATCGAGGATCTCCAACTCGGGAAGAGTGATCCCCCACAGAAGCCTTCCATCGACTTTACTTCTTTCTGCTGGCAGAATTGCAGGATAAACACGTCCCTTGATGCTAAATCTCTGATAATGATGGAGGGCAGCCGGGGAAGAAGGAGGAACGCGGTTGAGGAGGACCCGGACGACGTCGTCTGCTTGAAGGCTGCCGTACACGAAAACGTTGCACGTTGCCTGCGCAATCGCCATCGCTCGCACTGCACAAATCTGTTTTCACAAAAATATATACAGAGTATATATGCTGGGCACAGTATATTATTATATATAAACGGCTGAACTTTAAAGATGGTAAAATCGCGTATCTTTTAAATTATTCTGAACTGTGCGTTAGCCATCGCTGGCACCGCACTGAACTCACAATTTACGCAGCAATGCTGAATGTATACAGACAGAGTATATGCTGGGTAGTATACGCCGCCTCCTTGGTTAATTTAAATTCTGCCCCTTCCTCCGTTTTCCTCCCATTTAACTTTTCTCTTTGGTAAAAATAAAAACTAAAAGGAGTAGGAGCTTTTGCCACATTTGGTACTTTGTATTTGAAAATTTTCATATTTAGTCCTTCGACTTTTATAAAAGTGGCATTTTTGGCCCATCAACTATTATAATAATGACATTTTTAGTCTTTCACATATTGTGTCACAATCATAATGGAATGACAAAATATGTCAATTTGATAATACTCAGGGGACAAAATGTGGGAAACTTTGAAGCCGAGAACTAAAAGTGTCCCTAGCATGATAGTCGAAGATTTAAATTAGAAAAATTAAAAGTCGAGTACAAAAAATGTCAATGATGCAATAGTCAGAGAACCGAAAATGGAAAAAACTCCCCAAATAATCATACTAGTATATTGAAATTGGCATTCACGCATAAGAAGGGTTAAGTTATAAGCAATCATGGTGATGGAGTATATGGGTCTAGACCCCAAGACCCACATACTCAGGAGAACAGAAGACACAACTGTCACCCAGTGGGACCCTCATCGACCAGGTGACCCTCACCGGCCGGAATGAAGTCAACCCAGAACATGATCCGGAAGCCAGAAGAATCGGGTGACCTCGTCGGCCGGGTCTTCGTCGGCCATGCACTCATCGGCCAGACCCTCGTCGGCCACAAAGGACTCCCAGAATCGGATTTTACACTTACTCATTTTGTATACTCCATCATTTACTTTGTATTCGGCCCAATAGCGGTCCAGTTGTAAATGGGCCTCCCAAGCCCAAGGCTTGGGAGCCCAGCCCGTATTTTTCCTATAAATACTTCCTCTGGAGGTAGTTGTAGGGGTTGGAAAATCATTTATTGAAGCATTTACTTGCACTTCTCTCTCTAGCTCTCACCGGCTTCGGGCATAGAATGGCAGCTGACGTGGACGCCCCGTCCGCGGTTCGGGAGACTCCTACGTCCCCACCTCCAGATTATGAGGCAGACTCCTCGACCTCATCGTCCTCATCGTCATGCTCCCCTGATTTGAACGAGCTCAGATTTTCAAGCTCTTCGCAGAACTCTTCGACCACTTCGTAATCAAGGGACTTGGCGGAAGGCTCATCATCGTAGGGGTAGTACTCTTCGTTTAAGTTCTTCATCATAACACTATTACGGGCCTAATGGGACCTACTTCAGATCTAAAGGTGTTTTATGCCTAACACTAGATCAAAGGCCTAGGAATCAAAGTAGGCAAAATACAGAGGAAAATTCGATGAACTAACCTTTGAAGCTTTGAAGAACACGAAGAACACTTGCAAGGACTTTATCTCTCTAGAAATTTGGGCAGCACTTCGGTAGCTTAGATTGCAAATGAGGATTTTCTCCGGAATGGGAGGGGTATTTATAGCCCCCCCCCAACGGTCACTACACGTGGCACCTCCCTAGTGGCCACACCAACGGCCACCAATGGGATGCCACCACTTCGTAAACGGGCCAGGCCCAGTCCACAGATCAACAGCCCACCAGCAAAGCAGGCTCTACGGAGCGAGGAATGGGAAAATAGCACCCACAGCGGCCAAGGCATTCAACGGCCAACACAGGCTACGGCTACCCAGGTAGCACCCGTATCGGCCATTCAAGCGGCCATACATATTATGTAAAGAGAGGCCTTACAGCGGCCACAACAACAAAAGGAAAGGGAACCTAACGGCCATCGGCCCTCGCACAAAAACCCTTGATGATAACCCTTTGAAAGCGACCTGCGTCCAAGGGTTCTCCCACAGGGTTACCTTGGTCAGGAAATCGCCAAAGGGTTGGATTCAAGGCCAGCATGAGGATCCCGCTTCGGCCTGGGTCTCACACTACTCCTTCACCCCTCACTCACTCTTCAGCCTGAAGTAGTGGGGGACTGGGGGACTACACCGGCTTCAAAACGCAAAAATGGAAAGAGTCAAAAATACACAAGTACACAACTACAAACGTGATCATACCGGCTATGCATCACAACGGCTTCAAGGACCCTGTAAGTGCCATCTCCGACCAGGGCAAGAGCGCAACACGCTCATCGTCCCCAAAACCTTGGGTAACTAACCACCACACACCTCCTCGGCCAAAAGTACAAAATTCAATCAACAACGGCCAGAAGGAGTGAACAGCGCCCTCAACAGCCACTCAAGACAAAGGACGCTCATCGCCCTCCAACAAGAGATAGCCACAATGGCCTCCTCGGTCGAAAGTACGAAATTCAATCAACAACGGCCGGAAGGAGTGAACAGCACCCTCAACGGCCACTCAAGGCAAAGGACGCTCATCGACCTCAAGCAAGACGCAACCGCAGTGGCCTCCTCGGCCCAAAAACAAAATTCAGCCACCCAAGATCGTGAAAGGGTAAGAATGTCCTCATCGGCCACTCATGCCAAAGACACATATCGGCCATTCACAACTGCGGACCTTCACCGCCCCCATCAAGCAAGGGCATTCATCGTCCTAGAGAGCAAGGAACACGTACCGTCCGCATGGCTAAGATCTCTCCCGTCCACAACAGGGGACACACAACGGCCAAGCATAAAAAGAACATGAATCTACTCTCCTTCACTTCGTCTACATCTCATCTTAGAGAGTGGGGGACTCCTAATGGAGTATATGGGTCTAGGCCCCAGGACCTGCATACTCAGGAGAACAGAAGGCACAGCTGTCACCCAGTGGGACCCTCATCGACCAGGTGACCCTCATCGGTCGGAACGAAGTCAACCCAGAACATGATCCGGAAGCCAGAAGAACCGGGTGACCTCATCGTCCGGGTCTTCGTCGGCCATGCACTCATCGGCCAGACCCTCGTCGGCCACAAAGGACTCCCAGAACCGGATTTTACACTTACTCATTTTGTATACTCCATCATTTACTTTGTATTCGACCCAATAGCGGTCCAGTTGTAAATGGGAGCCCAGCCCGTATTTTTCGTATAAATACTTCCTCTGGAGGTAGTTGTAGGGGTTGGAAAATCATTTATTGAAGCATTTACTTGCACTTCTCTCTCTAGCTCTCACTTCTCTCTAGAATATAATCTATCACATGGTATAAGAGTCCCATAACATTGTAATTAACAAAAGACATCAAATAGGCTCATGTGCCCGTTCAAAATGCTCAATTCGCCACCTGAACTCTATAAAGCTCCAATTTACCCGCTGAACTCGACGAAAAAGTTCGAAACTCATTTTTTGCAAGTAAAACTCATAATTTTAATGTATATATAGGCTAGACCTAATTACCCACCATGTCAACCGTGCATCCCACATGGCAATTTAAAGGGTCAAATAGGCCCCTGAACCCGATAGAGTTGTTCAATTCATCCCCTCAACCGTTAAAAAATGTCAAAATTGCTATAAAAAAATAAAAAATAAAAAATAAAAAAATTAAAAAAATATACAAGTTCATAATATAGAATACAGACATCTATTTATAATGTAATAAGAAAATATTTATACTTCGCGGCAAATTAAATACATAAAAAAATATAACGAAAATAAATTATTTTTAAATACATACTATAAAAATGTAATAACTATTTTCATATTATACTTTTTGTATAGTATAAATTTTATTATTGTGTTTGTAATTAGTATGAAGTATAGTATATAATTCTAGAATAAAATCATACGAAGTATATATACATATATGCATGTTTGTGTGTGTAATTTTACATATGAATAGAAAACATATTATAAATATTAAAAAATATCATATAAAATACAACTCTAAAATATAAATATAATATAAATTGTAAAATACAAAACCTAAAATATGTTTAATAATACCAATTATTATATATATTACACAAAATATAAATTTAATTGTAATTTGTAAAAACATGTATTGTTAATTTTTTAGAAAAAATAGATTTAAAATATAAAATAGTTTTAATGAATTTATTTTAGTTTATTTTTTATGAATTTACCGCAAGTATAAATATATCCTTATAATATTTTTTTAATAGATGACTATATTGTGTACGTTCGATTTGTATCTTATTTTATATTTTTATTTTATATTTTTTTATTTCTTATTCTTTTGTTGCAATTCTTAAACTTTTTAACGGTTGGAGGGCAAATTGAACAACTCTGTAGGGTTCAGGGGCTTATTTGACCCCTTAAATTCCAAAGTGAGATGCATGGTTGACATCTAATCGGGTGACGCGGCGGTGACCGGACTTTCACCTACAAAAAAAATGAGATTTGAACTTTTTGTCAAGTTCGGGGGTGAATTGGAGCTTTTTTGAGTTCAGTGGGCGAATTGAACATTCCGAACGAGTACATGGGTCTATTTTACCTTTTAGCCTTAATAAAATTGTATTGGATTCATCATCTTCTTCGGCCATTTGTTCTCATTCCTGGTCAATGTGTCCAGCCATCTATTCCTCTTATTTGCCTAACCGTGCGGTTATCATTCCTCTTCTTCACCCATCTCCTTCACTCTTTAGTTTTTCTTCTTTTCTTTCATTCTCCACTAATTAAAAATTGAAATTTTATTAATTCAAAATAAAACTTCAAATTTGTATTTGAGAAGTGTAACTTTTCTTCAAACTGTTTATATAAAAGTTTACATTTGAGCGTGCCTCAAGTTATATTTCAATTAGCTCAATTTACTTTTCAACTCACCTCGAATTACATTTCCATTAACATGATTTACATTTCAACTTACCTCAAATTATATTTCCATTAATACGATTAACATTTCAAATTGTTTCAAGTTATCCCATTAATGTGGCATAAAGAAAGTTACATTTCAATATGCATCAAGTTACACCACACTTTACATACAAGTGATTTGCATTTCAACTTCTTCAAACTACATTTGGCATACACACGATTTACGTTTCGATTTACCTGAAGTTAGGGATGGTCTGGGATGGGTCGGCCAGACCTGGCCCCAACCCGAGCCAGGTACTGTTTAGTACATTTCATTACTTATTAGTAAAAAATTAAAAAATTCAGATTTTGAAAATTTAAAATGAGAAGAATTTAA